TTGCAATGGGTTGGTTTGCATTGTTGTAGACTGTGAACAAATTTATATATGGAATCCATCAACGAGAAAATCGAACAAATTGAAAGATTCAGGTTTTATAAGAAAGCAGCATTGCTATACTATTTACGGTTTTGGATATGATGAGATCAATGATGATTACAACGTAGTGGCAATTTTACGGGCTCTTAATCATGTGAAGATTGAGACTAAGGTTTATAGCCTAAAGAGTGACAAGTGGAGAAGGATTGAGGATATTCCTGGCTGTTTCCCTTTTTATAGTTGGGGGAAGTATGTTGATAGAAAGTTACACTGGCCAGGCTATAGTGGTAAGCAAGACAGGGCTGTTGTTTCTTTTGATTTAGCTCAAGCTAAATACGGAGAATTGAAGCTTCCAACTAATGGAGAGGGAGCGTCCTTTCCGGTACTTGGAGTATTAGGGAGGTGCCTTTCTGTAACTTATGAGCATCAGAGGTCCAACACTGTGGATTTGTGGGTGATGAAGGAGTATGGAGTGATGGAATCTTGGACCAAAATTCTTACTTTTCCAAGTTTTGGAATTCGCGGTCCTGTGCCATTGTGCATTTCAAGGAATGATGAAGTTTCAATCCAATTTGGATCTACTTTCAGGCTGTACAGTTTGCAAGATGATTCGATGGGAAATCCTAAGACTATCAACATGGATGGATGCCGTGATGCAACCATCTATGTTGAGAGCCTGGTTTCAGCAAGTGCTGCAGAAAAAGATGAAAGGCGATATGGATAACAAAGGCAAACAATGTAAACATCGCGCACCCTTACTTTTCTTTTGTAATTCTCTTGTCATGTAGTTGGCTGTTCAGTTCTTGATAAGAAATGTGCATGCACTTTGTATTCTGCAGGAAGGGACATAGTAGGAACAACTTTTATGCTTTACGTTTAACTCCCTAAGAGATGATTCCTCTGAGAATTAAAAGAATCCTATGCCTCTGTATTAGTAAATAGTCAATTCTAGCAATCCCTTTGACCTCAGTGGAGTTCATGTTTGGCCACTATCTTTGGCACTGGGTTATCTAGATCACCTTGTCGCGTTCCAGTTTAGGGAGTAACAAATGCAGTACTTGGCATTTTCTGCAATTTTGTAGATAAAGCTGAGTTTGAGGAGTTAGGGGAGCATGGGCAAGTACAGTTGTCATATGATGCTGCTGTGTTCGATTAGTCTATTTGTAATTACAATATTTGGTATACGCTCATATAAATTATGCGTAGTATTATATTTTTACACAGCATCAAATAAAACAATTAAAATGACGAGTACAACAAGATAATGTAAGTGTATATAAACCAATGCATGTAAAAATTACAATAATGGCAGTATAAAACTGTTTATAGCACAACCTCCTCGACTTCCTTAGTTAGGGGCCTTAAACCTGTCGTTCCTTTCATACTTGTATCAGTCAATAAAGTTTGAGCTATCTAAAATACTGTCTGAAGCAAACACTTAATGCCATTTTCTTTTGAAGTTTGATCCTATCCTCCACCTAATTCACAAGGGCACTTTTTCTAAACAATGTGTAGTAGAACAGGCTCATTTCTAATATGCAAAACACATAGTTTGGTGCGAAAATTGAAGAGAATTGATTTATTTGACAGATTGTCTTGATTTTGTTTGATGCAGCTGTTTCATTTCGTGATTTCCAAGACATACTTGTCGGACCCTTGATCGAAAGCCTTGTAGAAGGCATTACTATTCAGTATTCTGGAGAGAAAGATTTAGTAGCAGTTGGTAATATAGTAGTTGACACATCTCATATGTACAAGGATGGATCAACAAATTTTCTAGTAGCAGTTGGTAATATAGTAGTTGACACATCTCATATGTACAAGGATGGATCAACAAATTTTCTTCTCGTGTGAGGACTGCATCCAACCTCTTTGTTTTATTCCTTTCTGCAATAACTTGCAGTTCAATCATAGAAATTTAATGTGGAAAATCTAGATTATGCTTATTTATATCTGATAATTTTAAAGAGTACTCGAAAAGAAAGATAACGTCTGAGTTTTTGCAGTAGTTTTACCTTTTCCTCATGGTATTCTTGGGGTTGGGGATGGGAAGCAAGAAGTGTTCTGCTTGTGGATATAATCTGCTGCTAAATGTGCCTATAAATCTTGTCTAAAACTTAATTATTAGTACAATTAGATACTGCACTTCAATATCTGGAGGATTGAAAGGGAAGAAAATAAGTATGGTTGATTAAGACTTCTTATTTATGAAATTTGAGAAAAAGATGTAAGGATGTTAACCTTGAGTTGATCTTGTATTGTCACCATGGTCATGAAATGGACAAGTCTTAGTTTAAACTGTTAAAAATATCACATTGCGAAATGATGGACATTGTCTGTAACATCTTCTTCTATCATAATTTGACATTGTGACGACTTTCACACGAAGTCTACAGTAGATTTTTAAAGAAACAATGAAGGTCTTGTCTGATTGTTTCTACTCTTGCGTAGGCTTGACACCACTCTGCCGCACCACTAGCCTGAAAAAGTTACCAATCAATCATAAATTTTTTGGGATAAATTACATATAATTCCCTTGTGATCTCATCTATTGCCATATGACTGCTCTAACATTTCAAAATACCGACTTCATCCTCTATAATTTTGTGTACAGTAAAAACTTGACGGAAGATAACCTATGTAACGTCGTTAATTGAAATACAAATAGTACCTTTACTTAAATGTTAAATTAATTGAGAGTTTAACTACCTTGTATAAAAAAATATAAGGGGATTATATAGATAAACACAAAAATTATAGAAGATAAAGTGAATATTTATACAAACCATAAGGGAATTATATGGAGATCAAGATTTTATCACACACTTTTTTAGAACGTGTTTGATATAAATGTCATAATTGATTGCGTATTTCGTCCATTTTTCACTTTACATAAAATTATAGGGAGGTTATATGGTTATTTTGAAATCTTAAGGAAATCATATGGCATTATGTAAAATCATAGGGAGATTATAAGTAATTTACCCGAAACTTTATCAATCATAAGAGTAAGCAAAACTCTAAAATGAGGTCTAATTACATCTAAAAATCTCAAAGATACACACTTTTTTAGAACGTGTTTGATATAAATGTCATAATTGATTGCGTATTTCGTCCATTTTTCACTTTACATAAAATTATAGGGAGGTTATATGGTTATTTTGAAATCTTAAGGAAATCATATGGCATTATGTAAAATCATAGGGAGATTATAAGTAATTTACCCGAAACTTTATCAATCATAAGAGTAAGCAAAACTCTAAAATGAGGTCTAATTACCTCTGTTTTCAAACTCGGACCGGACCGGCCGGTCGAACCGGTTGAACCGGGAACCGGCCAGGTAGCCGGTCCGAGTCACATTAGAAAACCGAAAATTTAAAACCCGGTCAAAGCCGGTCAAAAACCGGGTTTGACCGGGTTTGACCGGGAAAAAACCGGTTTTTCCGGTTCAACAGTATTTTTTTAAAAAAAAAAATTCAAACTTTTTAATATTATGTTTTGACCCCCTAAATTGTTAAAACTTATTGATATACCTCAAATATTTGATACTTTATAAATATTGTCCTAAAATTTGATGTTATTTTTCAATTAAATTCATAATTTTAATTCTAAACTTGTTAATATTTATTAAATAATATAAATTGCTACTTGATTGTTCTAATTTCTTTGTATTTTCTTGTTAAATATATTTGAAACATCAAATATATATGAATATGCCTTTATTAATATCAATATATTATTAGATATTATATATATAACATTTTAATTTTAAAATAATTTTTATTTATGACGTCATCCGGTTCGACCCCTATCGACCCCCGGTCGAACCCATTGACCCCTGACCCCTGACCTCGGCCGAGTCGCTATCCGGTCCGGTTCTGAAAACATAGCTAATTACATCTAAAAATCTCAAAGATTTGATTAATTATTTTATCATCAACTCAATGGCTAGTCATATAGGGGGGAAAAATGTCAAATGGAACACAGTAAGTGCTTTAAAATGATTTGAAAGCATGGCTTGTACTTTGAGACTGGTCTAACCCTCTCTCGTATGAACGAAACTTTAAGAAGTAGTGAAATTTTGCCATATCGCTAGTTGAAGATTTGATATTCAACAAAAGGGTGCTACTTTGATTTGACCAGATTCATAAGAAGGAGAAAGTCCCTGCTCAAATTTGTTATTTTAATGAAAATGAAATTGAGATTACCATTTTGTCCACCATTACCATGCTTCTGTTTGTGATCCAAGTGTAAGGGAGGTCTCAGGGATGCATGAATATTGAAGTTTTTATGGTGTGTGAATTGTGAAGGAATTTTGGACTAACACTAGATACGACTTCCAAGGAAAAGTTTGCAAGCTAATGATGGTTCGAGGATTCTGCATAGCAGCCTCAGATTTCAATATTCAAGATAGTTTGATCAGATTTGTAAGACTCGTACAAAAAAGTTCTTGGCTTAGAAGTTCCTGTTTTTATTAAGACGCTATTGATACTTTCTAAAGAAGGGGTTGCTCAAGATTTTGCCTCGACTCTTCGGCGGATCAATGCTTTGTCTGATCTCCTTTAGAAATGAAATGCAGACCACTGGAAGCACTTGGGGTCGTCGAATCTGCAGCATTATTGGTGATTGCCAAGTACATAGTAGGTGATAAGTCAAATTGGCATATTGCTTGAAAGTCAGCCTTAACACTTAACAGATTAGAAGAATCAACAATTCAACCAGAGCGAGAGGAGAGTGAAAGCTGAAAATAGATCCTTTGCTTGAAAGAACACTGAACATTGACTTTCTTGGTGAAATCAGGTGCCCAGTAGAGCAAAGGGATGGAAATAATTAAGGTCATCGATTACGGTATTCAATCGCGCTAGGATAATTGAGGATAATAGCATAACTTGACCAAGTCAAACAGGAGCACTTGCAATAAATAATTTGCTCGAGTACAAGTTGCCAGACAGAGAGACTGATGTCGACTCAGTTTTGATAGTATTATACAAATGTCCCAAGAATGGATATAAATTTCGTAGCTCATCTCTTCCAAAGTGCAAGTGAAAAATGCATTTAAAAAATGACTAGGTTGATTCGAGAAAGGCCAACGGGCTCTACAGTCTTGTTCCCAGATTCTTCTTGTATGAAACAACCACTTGATTGGCTTTGGATTCATCTCCTACTGTTGGACGAATATTAGAGATTAAAGCAGCATTGGATCAAGAATCTGCTTTCAGCTAACCGATATGCAAGCCCATCAAAGGCCAGAATATAATATTCTGCAAGAAGATCCAAGGCCAATGCCAGATCTTCCCCAAGAACTCATAGTTGACATACTCACAAGGTTACCAGTCAAGTCCATTTTGAGATTCAGGTGTGTTTCAAAATCATGGCTTTGTTTAATCGCAAGTCCTCATTTCATCAAATCCCATCTCACAATATCAACAAAAGTCAACAATCATGCCCGTCATGGCCTTCTTTTAGCTCCCATTGATGCTCCGACTGAGCTTTACACCTGTTCTCTTTATTCTGTTTTGTATCAAAGATCTCCTGTTAGTGCTGAAAAGGTTCAACTCCCCTTGCAAAGTAAATATCCTAGATTATCCTTTGTGGGATGTTGCAATGGGCTGGTTTGTTTATCTGAAGGGTCTCATGATCTCATTTTGTTCAATCCATCCACAAGAAAATCCAATGTTTTACCGAATTCAGGCATTGATGTGGGTAAATTTAAGCATATGACATATGGTTTTGGTTATGATGAAGTACATGATGATTATAAAGTAGTAGCAATAGGCTATTCTTGCCCCTATGGGATGAATTGCCAGACTATAGTCAATGTCTACAGTTTAAGGACCAACTCTTGGAGAAATATTCAAGGCTATGAAGGTGGATTCATTTCTTCTTGTTCAGGTGTGTTTGTTAACGGAGCTCTTCATTGGCTAGTGGTTTCTGAGGATGGTTCTATTTCCTCTTGGCGAATTGTTTCTCTGAATCTGGCAACAGAGACCTATGGAGAGATATTGCAGCCTAACTATGAAAAGGGCAATGTTTCTTTTACACCCGGGGTTTTAGAAGGAAATCTTTGTGTCTTTTACAACCACTATGAAGTGAAATTCGATGTATGGGTGATGAAGGAATATGGGCTGAAGGAATCTTGGACTAAGTTGGCTTGTATCCCTTACTCTGTGAATTTCAAGGGTCGTGCTTCACCATTGTTTGTCTCAGAAGCTGGGGAGATCTTATTGAAGCATGATTACTCTTTGATGCTCTACAATGGGAAAGATGATATTTTTACAAACCGGGATCTGCAAATGCAAGGTGCTAACTATCCAGGTGCAGCTGCTGTCTACATTGAGGGCTTGGTATCTCCTCACATTGATGAGGTTGGGCACAAAACTTGTGCACAGTGAAAGAAAGGTGAAATTGTTCAAGGATAACCTTTTCCGACCTAGAATATTACTTCTGTTAGACATTGCTTTGAAATATTAATTCTAGTTTGCGGAAGACTCCCCAATGATGGACTAGGCAACCTCACAAAAGTCCTAGCCGCTAAATGGCACAGATCAGAAGATGCTATGATTTTTGGTGTACAACAGTGCTTTTTCTTGAATCTGTATGATAACCTATTTTCTTTGATGCTCTTCTCAGTCTTATTGGCGTTTTACGTATTTGCACATTTTCTTCAATGCTTTTTCAGTTTCAAGTTGAGAAACGTACCTCTTTTAGCTGATATCCCTCAGAATTGCAAACTCAAAACTAAACTGGATTATAATTGCTGATAACTCGTAGCAAATACGATGAGAACTCACTCCTGATAAACCACCAAATGTGCTGCCAAATGATGGTCATAAGGTGCTTAACAAGTTCTGAATCCACTTCTACTTGAACCACAATAATCATTATCTGTAATATCTATATATTTCCTTCATTGTATCGACACTTGAGATCGTCTTCTAGGTCCAAGACTCCCAGGTAGTTAATTACCTCTTGACATTCAGATCCACCTAAAATGGTCATCAATATGCCTCCTTACTCTGCATACATATAGATACAAGGTGTCAATCTGTTTCTTCGTGCTTCTTTCTCATTAAGCTTGATTCTGGTTGCTTGTCTGAACAGAGCCAATGGTGCTTGCGTAATGAGAATGAGATGAAGATTGTACGATGAGCCTATCGCGCTTGTATTCCTTCTTGTTAGTGGATTTGTTGAGAGAGGCTTTTCGCGAATTATGGGTGAGAGATAAGGGGTTGTCGCGAATTAATATTGGGCTAGAGGCTAACCGAAGTAATGATTTCACAAGACAAATGAATCTCAGGGAGGATTTCAGTCGAAGCCTGTGTAGAGTTTCAATGATCTAATCATGGGCAATTTATATGATTGGAATATGTTTGTTTACTTCAATTCCCATTGATTTTCCATCATAAAGTTTAGTGTGTTTTGCTTGTCAGAGTTAACTGCTTATAAGGGAGAACTATAAGTACTGCAGAATGCAAAGCAGGATCCACAAAGAAGCATATAAAGAGGATCTGCAAACCTGCCTACCTAACTGAAGTGAAAATTTGTGAACACGATTACGAAGCAAAGAGAATTAAATCATTGGTCATAGAGTTGATGCATCGGAGAAACCAGTTTTTTGAGGTTTATAAGCATCTCATGGATCAGTTCAGAGAATCATTGAACACTTCAGAAGCAGCTAATGTTTGCAGAAACCATGAAGCTGTATCATCCTTGCGCAGGGGCCATGCTAATCTTCTCTGTATCGTTCCAATTTTATCGGATGTCCCCGAAGTGACCTGTATCTAGTCAAATCTATAACAAAATACTAAGTAGAATTTGATCATTTCTTTGACATCATAAGAAACTATATTAGAGCACAGTTGTGATATACTATAACGGATGTTCTGTTACGGTAATCGTCAAGTTATTCTATGGCTCTTCGAAGTTCTTAGGTTTCTGCCTTACTAAGCATTACGAGCAAGGAGAGGCTATCAAACAGATCCAAGGTGGCAGCTTAAGTTTCTGTTAAGATGAAAACAAGCGAAAGAAACCAAGGTTTTATTTGATATCGACCGACGAAAAGTGACAACAAATTATCTCAAATTAGGTCAGAAATGAAAATTACTGATCATCATTGTAAATGTTGAGGCATAATTGCTGAGCTCAAGAACAACACTCTGGAATAAAATGGTTATGATAGCTGAATGTGCCAAATTCCAACTAACCATCTTTGTCGCCCTATCTTGCTGTGGAAAAAATTGAGTTTCAAGTCCTCGACATTATGTAACTTCAAAGTAATAAGCCCAACTTCATCAATAATTGGATTCGAATGGAACGGAAAAATTTCAATGCAAAGTTATTCTAACTACTCAACATAATTAGAAGCACAATATGGAAAATTAAGCAGTCTTAGGACAAAAAAAAAAAAAAAAAGGGCCTTGATTCACTGCAGAAAGGATGACAAAAGAATATTACTAAACTTTAGAGAGCATGATGAGAATTTATCATCTTTAGTGCTGTACTTGTTGCTCCTGATTCAGTGAAACCAGGCTTTCTACATAAACGCAGGCATCAGACAATGTGAACTGGAGATCCGCAGATGAACTACTCAATCCAACCTTGTAACTCTTAAACGAACCATCCTTCGCATTGTACAATACCAAATCTGGCCCATTTATAAGCAAAATTTTCTCATCTTCTGATGTGCACAGTAGTTTATAACTGGGATACGCCCAGGATTCATGGTGGGGGATGCTAAGCACTTTCATCCAAGATTCTCTAATCCCATATTCCTTCATAATCCACACGTCAGTGTGAGTGTATTCATTACTATGCCTACACAGCATACATAGACTTCCTTGGAAAATATCTATATCTGAGTCATAATACTCGTCCAAATTTGGCAGCCCCATCTCTCTATATGTCTCTGATGGTAAATCAACACAACAAATGGATAGATAACCTTCTTTTTTTAAGGGCCAATGGAGATTCCCATTCAGAACTATACCACACTGCTCTTGAGCAATATAACCGCCCTGAAAATTCCCAAGCCTCTTCCAAGATTCATTTCTCATGCTGTAAACGTTAACGTCTCGCCGCCCAGAAGATAGCACAGCACAATCATCAAAAGTGCAGATAATCTCAACTACTTTATAGTCATCATTGACCTCATCATAACCAAACCCGAAAATAATGTAGTATTGGTCAGAATATTCTGGTACTTCAACGTCTAAATCAGGCAATTCCTTGGATTTTCCAGTAGATGGGTTCCACAGAAATAAACCACTTACATTGGCATCAATGCAAACTAATCCATTAGAACTACCAACTATTACGATGGTCCGAGAGGGGACTTCCCAGTTGAGATTATCAAACATGACAACATCAGTAGATATTTCATCACACATTAAGCAGTTGAGAGAACATTGTTTTACGCAATCATCAACGTCAACATACCCCTTGATGAGAATCCTTTGGCTGTCTCTGGAAGTATGGAATTTGAGATGGGCTTTGATGAATTCTGGGCTTGATATTAAGGACAGCCATGATCTCGAAACGCATTTGAATCTCACGAGGGACTTCACCGGGAGTCTTAATAGGATTGCATTTATGACTTCATCCGGAAGGATTGGCAGTGAGGCCGAAGGGATTGCTAAATCTTGGGTGGGAGCTGACGGGAATTCTTGATGTGGGGTGTGTTCAATTTTTGTTGATCGGCCACCAGTAGTTCCACTTGTTCTGTCCATGAGAGGTTTGCTTCTGAGCTGTGCACGAAATTTAGTGGTAACTTTAGGCCACCCGGTGATACTGAGAGCTCATTAAGGGTCAGAAAGAAAAAGAAATAAATGGCAATAGAGTTGGATGCTTTTTTCTTTTTTTTGGGTCTTCTTCTCCTTATTCTTGATGACAACAGCAACTGTTGTAACCTAACGTACATAGTGGATAAGACAGATGAGTGTTACCTAACATACACAGTGGATGACAGATGACTTGAGTGTAACGACCCCAATGGTTCAGCACTAGTGGACGGGCCTCACAATTGGGATACATTTGAGCCGAATAGAGTTCGAGTACTACTTGAGCTAAGATAATTGAGTTCGAACTCGTTAAACTTTTGGAAGTCAAACTCGAATTCGAACTCAACTTCCGTTTGTCTAAATCAATCTCAAACTCGAATTTGAGTTTAATTAAATCTAGTTGAATTAAATTAAATTCAATCGAGCCTATTCGAGTTTAATTGAACCTATTTGACTCTAATCAAACTCATGCAATACAAATTAATATTTTACATATAATTTTAAATAAAAGATATTATTGATATTTCACAATAATAAATATGAAAAAATTAAAAAAATATATATTATAAAAACTCGATTAGGCTTGCCGAGCTTTCGTGTACAAAATATTGGAACTCAACCTTGACTCGTGAGCTCAAATAAGTAGCTCGAACTCAAGTTCAAACTCGATCAAAACGAGTTTGAGTTGAGTTATTTGGTTCAGCATCATCCCTACTCACAAGTGCCTTCGATGTAACAAAAATTAAATTGAATGACTATTTAACCGTGAAATGGAATAAAATGAAACTTGTGAGGTCTCAGATTTGTACAAAAAAAAAAAAAAAAAAACCAGGTGCCAACTAAAGTTTCTAGGAAGAAGAAAACAAGGAACAAGTGAAAGAAAACCAGAATTTATTTTAGTATATATTTACAAAGTCAAGCAAACACACAGTTTCACATCATTTGGCTGGAAATCAATTTCTCTTGCTACAATCTTTCAGATTATACTGCAGAAATATCTATTATGTTGATGCTTATGTACTTGGTTCAATAACAATACGTCCACCATTTCAAGGTAGATCAGAAAAGCGATACAGATGTGATAACTGAACGTGCAAAACTTTTAGCTCATTTTTCTCTTGGATTCAACTCAATCTGCATCTAATAGCAAAGTATCCAATATATTTGAAATCATGCACGTCCTCCAAATTCTTTAATTTCAGAAAATCACATCAGAGAAAAAGCAAAGATAAAACGTAACCAAAGTCGTAGAAACTAAGCTACGAGAGCTTCTATATCCTTCTTTTCCCACATTTGGGTACCTGAGAAAAGGGCCATGCTTCAATAGCAACCTTTGTTCTCTAACAGCTCAACTTGTTAACAAGTTTCCAATTATTCAGGAAGAAACCCAAAGCATGAGACATATGCAAAACCTAAGAACACTAGAGAATTGTTAAGACGGGCATCAGATATATTTGAGATCATGCTTTTTTTGGAACTGAAAACAGGATTCAAATTCTTTGCCAGCCTAAGAAAAGTAAGACGGGGATGACAAGCAAGTCTACCTACTCTGTATTTCAAACTTCTAAACCCTTTCTCTCATATTTTTTTTTTTCAAATCTTTTTACACTAGGGGTGAAAAAACATTACAACATAAGAGTTTCACCAGATGAATGACAAAAAACAGGGAAAGAACGAATGTCAGGAAAGCATAACCATGAAGCAACTCAAATTGAGCACTTATATTGTAGTTTACAAACGTTAATCCGTGGACCATAATTGTACATTTGGCAGATTTATTAGAGACAGAGAGACCAAATTAAGAAGATCTGAGCATGTAATCTGACTTGCAACCATAGCTGATTACATGTGAAGCCTGTTTTTATAGGGCATATGCCAAGGTGTGATGTGAGATGGTACTTATCTTATCATAGGTGAGTTCTACGGTATTTTCTGGTATCATCCTAATGAGTATCAATTCATCGTTGGATCTGTACAAAAGAAATATTAGTTTTTAGATGATTTTATAAATTTTTAAATAATTGAATGATGTAACAAAATTCAAGCACTAAAGCAAAGCAAGAAATTGAGCAAAATTTCTTGATCAAAGAATTAAATTCATTGTTGGATCTGTAAAAAAAAAAAAAGATATTAATTTTTAGATAATTTTAGAAGCTGAAATTATTAAATGATCTGACAAGAGTTTAGTATTAGATTACACCCATAAGTATGATACCAAAGAGAGAATAGTGGAATATCAGATAAGCACATGCATATTCTTAATCACAGGACAAAAGAAGAACATAAGAAGAGAAATGCTTACAGTATTGATAGTCTTTATCTATGTTTGGCATTGCCGTTCGTATTAGGATGGTAGATAGTTTACCGGCCGAACTTTGGGAACTGACAGATCGTCTTCTTCAGCTTGTGTGGGACATGAGATTCGCGAAGGTAGTAGAAGTGAAATCTGCCCCTTATACATAGCCTCTTTAGACCCTACCATCTAGATTAGGACAGATTAAATTATAGAAATATTATTATCGTTGCGGTTAAAAAAAAAGAAGGAAATCTGACTCTTAGGTTTAGGTCGTACGATGATGTAAAATCTGACTCTTAGCTTGGAATTCCTCGTACTGAGAGTGCTGGCAAGCCAAGGGTCACCTTCATTTCAATTTGGTGTGAAAGTTTTGAGAATTAATAATGAATCAAGATTGGAAATGCCATTTAAGTCATTGAAGTTACATCTGGTCAGAAGGGAAAGTCTAGTCTTAATTTTCAATTGGGACTTGCTCTCTTACCTTTCTGCGCTCCCATAGTAATCAAATCTCTCTTAGGACCAGACATTAGGGGCTGTATGTATTAGCAAATAGAAAAATCATATATTAAGCGACAGAAATAGATTATAAGGCGACTGAATTTCTTGATTTTAGGGATTTCTATATTTGTATCTATACTTAATAATGCCGTGATTTTTAATTGATTTTTGTAGACGCACTCTTGTTAAATTTTTGTTTCAAGGTGCTTCTTTTTTGTTCAATTTATGGATATGAGCATACTTATGCAAAAGCCCTCGATCATTTGCACCTTAAAAAGATCCGATGATGATTCCAAGGTTTG